GCTAATTTATGCAATTTTATAATCCATTTTTGTCCATATCGAATCTGTCTTTCGTAGAGTATCATCAGCAGCAAATGGTCTCCGAAGTTAGGGGTCGACGGTAGTTTGAAACTTAATGTCCATAAGGAAACACTATTGCCCATTACAGAATTGAAAAAATGAAGTTTTTTAATACGTTATTGAATTGCGAACACCCCCTGAGGGGCTCAATTTTACACACTCAAGTCAAGATTACAATGCAAAACAACGCGGGCAAATCACAAATGGCTTTATAGCTGTGAAGTCGCACCCTATATATATCAGTTCAAGCACGTTATGGTTCAGGTTACTTTTTGATACTTGAATAAATGGTCGAGAAGTCCTAGACGTCCTAGACATTTATTAGGATAATGAAGGTTGCAGTGTTTTAAAAACACTGCAGCAGTTCACTTTTACGAGACTTTACTTTTTATATTTTTCTTAAAGCCACTTTCAAAGAACTCGCCGATGAGGCAGCATTAATTTGCTTCTACTTGAGGTCCTAACAACTTTTAACTTAGAACATTCTCATGCTGCCCATGTAAAGATTGAAATTATACGTAACAGATAACAAAGCTGCTGTAAAAAAATACAAAAATGTATAAAATATATGAATATATGAATAATTACGTCAGTAATTTTTGCTAATTACGGACCGATGACCTCGAAAACACAGACCTCGCAATTACGAGTCTTATTTAAGACCTGCACATGAAATGAAAACAGTTTAAGCGTGGCACGTACTTTCCCTATAGCTTTTGGCTAATGGCGTGCCCACTTTGAAACAGTCCAACCGGCACCGACGCTTGTTTGTTGATCTACAAGCTTTCCATTTTTAATTATATTCCAAAAGAAAGAATACTTAAGGTCGGCACGCCAATAGCCATAAACTATAGGGAAAATAAGCGCTATGCGTAAACTGTTTTCATCAAATGTGTAGGTCTTAAGACTCGTTTTAAATTGCGAGGTCTGTGTTTTCGAGGTCTGCGTTTTCTAGGTCTGTGTTTTCTAGACACCCCGTCTGTTGTCCTAGCTCTCATCTACGACTCTTCTTCATTCATTAATTCATACCTCCATCCGACCTCCACGTAAAACAAGGTCTATGATTGGCTTATCATTATGATAGGTTTAGGAAAACATAGACACGTAAATCAAGGCCAGTGATGCTGAACGAAAGATTTCAGGCCGCAATTACGGACCTCCTCGTCAAACAAGGTCTATCATTGGTTGATAATAATAACAGTTGCGTTCAGGAAAGCAAGGAAGGATTAAACCCTCAGAACGCCTCTATACCTCATTGTAAAGTCCGTTAAGCAAGATGAAATGTCTTTTGGCATAGAGTTGTATCCAAGCCTGGCATGTGTGCTTCTCGCTGCATGTTTGCTTCTCATCATGATCACAGCCATATGTATAAAAATCCTTGAATGGCAACATGCAGCACAGCAGATGCAAGCTTTCGTAGAACAAGGTGGAGAAAGAATTCTTCCTATACAGGAAGAAGGAGATGAAGCGGTGGGACTCCACAGGAGAAGACTTATACAGATCAGACCAAGAAAGCTTCCTTGCCAACACGAGGAAACCCACCGAGAACTTTGAAGGAGCAGGTGAGAACTTGTGTTCATTTTTTACAAATTGGTTAGTTAGCCCTATGCCCTAAGCACGTGACTCCGCGCTAGAGCATTTTTTTTTGTTTTAAATTGTTTTGAGAACAGATTATCGAAGTCTGACTCTCGCTAATAACTGTCGTGTTTACTCTCAAACGGAGCAAAAAGAATGTAGAACGTTTATCTTTCGTCTTTTTTTCCATAGCGAGCTCAAGTCAGTAAATTTGGAATTTAGGGTAAAGACAATGCGCGTAACGTCACCCCGCGCTAATTTATGCAATTTTATAATCCATTTTTGTCCATATCGAATCTGTCTTTCGTAGAGTATCATCAGCAGCAAATGGTCTCCGAAGTTAGGGGTCGACGGTAGTTTGAAACTTAATGTCCATAAGGAAACACTATTGCCCATTACAGAATTGAAAAAATGAAGTTTTTTAATACGTTATTGAATTGCGAACACCCCCTGAGGGGCTCAATTTTACACACTCAAGTCAAGATTACAATGCAAAACAACGCGGGCAAATCACAAATGGCTTTATAGCTGTGAAGTCGCACCCTATATATATCAGTTCAAGCACGTTATGGTTCAGGTTACTTTTTGATACTTGAATAAATGGTCGAGAAGTCCTAGACGTCGTAGACATTTATTAGGATAATGAAGGTTGCAGTGTTTTAAAAACACTGCAGCAGTTCACTTTTACGAGACTTTACTTTTTATATTTTTCTTAAAGCCACTTTCAAAGAACTCGCCGATGAGGCAGCATTAATTTGCTTCTACTTGAGGTCCTAACAACTTTTAACTTAGAACATTCTCATGCTGCCCATGTAAAGATTGAAATTATACGTAACAGATAACAAAGCTGCTGTAAAAAAATGCAAAAATGTATAAAATATATGAATATATGAATAATTACGTCAGTGATTTTTGCTAATTACGGACCGATGACCTCGAAAACACAGACCTCGCAATTACGAGTCTTATTTAAGACCTACACATGAAATGAAAAGAGTTTAAGCGTGGCACGTACTTTCCCTATAGCTTTTGGCTAATGGCGTGCCCACTTTGAAACAGTCCAACCGGCACCGACGCTTGTTTGTTGATCTACAAGCTTTCCATTTTTAATTATATTCCAAAAGAAAGAATACTTAGGGAAAGTTCATTTAATATGACAAGGGGGGGATGAAGATATTGAGGGGGCTCGAAAATTTTTAGACACCCGAAGGGGGCTCTGAAAAAATTGTTGCGCTAGGAGGGGGCTCCGAAAATTTGTATACTTCAAAACCAACACATGACATCATCATACAGATCGGATGGTTTTCAACTCAACAATTTAATGACCTGTGCAACTCAGCTATATCACGTGGTTTACAGATATAACAAATGTAGTCTCAGTAATTATTACACTCTTGTTCATCCGAAAAATGCTTTAGAAAATTGTATCACAACTGTATCTCAAGTTTGTCATAGTATAAACCATTGAAGACAATAACGGTAAATATATTTAATACAGTCTAGCGATCTTTTTTCAGGGGAGCAAAGGAATTGAAGGAGGAGGGGGAAGG